TATATATATATATACACACATTTATCTCTATATTGTGTGTGTATGTAGAGAGTATAAAAGTATACATATTTACATATGTACACATACACATCTTGTGTATATATATACCATATATACATATGTCGATAATTGTACATAGATACATATGGAGAATTGTGGGGCTATATAAATAAAAGTGTGTGTGTGTGTGTGTGTGTGTATATATGTGTGTGTGTATATATGTGTGTGTGTATATATATACGCACATCTCTATAGATAGAGCTATGTAGAAATGGTGATATATAGAGATGTGTGTACATGTATCTGTATTTATATTTGAGTACATATATGCATACACAGAGCGCTTCAGAATGTTGGTGGGAAAATTCCATTATCTGTTAATTCCATTTTCCCATCGAACTTTTTGTATCCCCCGCCCTAGTATACATCTTCGAGAAATAGACAGGGAATTATGGATTCTTCCTTATTTCTTTCTTTCTCAAAGAGAGAGGGGGAAAGTTGAGAAAACTTAGACCTGGGAATCCAGCTTCTGCTCCCTGCGTGCAGCGGCTCAGCGGCCTTGAATGGGCTTCCTCCGCCACGACCACCTGCTTATCTCTCCAGCTGACTTCTCGTGCAGCCAGACTGAGTCTGACTCCCCGGGGAGCTGGCCTAGCTGTCATCTTCATGGAAGCGGCTCACCAGACCTTTTCGTCCGTGAGCTTGCTGGGTGGGTTCAAACCACCCACATTTTGCTTATCAGCTGAGGGCAAGCTCTTTGTGCCCCGCAGGGTCCTTATCTGGCAGGGACAGAGAGCTGGAGCTTGATAGAATTGCCTTGTTTTCCAGAGTCTCACAAGTTTCCTGCCACCTTTTTAGCACGCAATTCTGTGGAAATGGTTGGCGTTTTCCTTGTCTGTTTCTGGCTTTACACGGTTTCCAGGTTTCACAGGCTTGCTGTGTAAGGTCATGGCCTGTCAACCCTTGGATACTGGGCCGCCTTCGCCATTCCTTACCCTTACTCTGCTTTGAAAGAGTGAATCTAGTTCTGAGCCAGTTTTAAAAAATAATCCCCCGTCGTGTTTTGTGTTCACAACCCCCTTGGGGTGAGTAAGTTGAGGGGTACACTTCTCCCAAGTCTGGTGGGAGCCTCACATGCCAGTGCCCTCTGCCTTCAGGTACAACTGCGAAGATGAGCGCTGCTACTTAGACCTGGCCAGGCTGAGAGGCGTCCACTATGTCACCTGGCAACGGCGTAACAAAGTCTTCCCTCAAGACAAGGTAAAGCTCACCCACAACCCTCACCTTGATTTGCTTTTCAATTGGTGTTAAAAGGACCGAATGGGTCACAGGAAGAATCATGATTGCATTTTAATCCCAAGGCACACGTTCCTCCTTCCCTGGGCTGGTGCGTTTTCATACTTCTGCTTAAAAATGTAGGGCAGGAAAGGAAAACTAATAACTCTGTATCTTCACTGGCAATATGACAACCTTGTGAAGTTGGGCCTATAAACAGCTATTGAAAGAACCCTGGTGGCAGAGTGGGTTAATTCCTCAGCTGCTAGCCACAAGGTCTGTGGTTCAAACCTACCAGCCTCTCTTAGCGGGAAAGATGTGGTGGTCGACTCCGTGGAAGATCACATCCTGGCAGCCTTAGGGGCAGTTTCCTCTGCCCTGGAGGTGGCTATGCGTCTAAGTCAACTGGATGGCCATGGATTTGGTTGGTTGGATTGTTTTGGAGAACTATTCAGGAATCAGCCTATCCCAAAACACTGCCTGTTTTTGTCAATAAAGTTTTATTGGAACACAGACATACATGTTTTGTTATGGGTTGTCTTTGTACTTCAACAGAGTATTTGTGACAGAGATTGGATATTTCACAAAGCTGAATGTACTTATTACCTGGTTCTTGAAGGAAAACGTTTGCTAATGCTTGACAGATCTCAAATGAAAATATGTGCTTGGGCAAAATGGAAGGACCTTCTTTTTGTACAGAAACCAATGACCTCCAGTGTGTGTTTGATTTGCTTTTTAGGGCCACCACCCAACTCTGGGGGAGCACCCAAAGTTTACCAACTACTCCTTCGATGTAGAAGAATTCATGCACCTTGTCCTCCAGGCTGCAGACCATGTGTCTCAACACCCCAAGTGGCCACTGAAGAGCAAGCGTGATGAGCTATGAATGTGTGCAGTCCATTTGCAAAAAGAGAGTATTTAAACCAGTTACATCCAGATTCACTAGCATACCTGGATTCACATTGAAATCAGTACAGAAGATAGCCCAAGTACTCTGTTATTTGCTACCCCAAAATGATCTTTTCTATCCCCAAGCCTACCCTCAAGAGAACACTTGTTTTATAGTTTTTAAGTCAGCAGTTCTCAACTTGTGGGTCGTGACCCCCTTTGGGGGTCAAACAACCCTTTCACAGGGGTCGCTCGCTTCATGACAGCGGCAAAATAACAGTGATGAAGTAGCAATGAAAATGATGTTATGGTTGGGGGTGTCACCACCACATGGGGAAGAGTATGAAAGGATGATGGCATTAGGAATGTTGAAAACCACTGCTTTAAGCGCTTTTGTGATTTTCGTATCATTACTATGTGAGGATGATACTTTTGCACTGGAAACTCTACTGTTTGCGGTTTAAAAACTAGTCGTGGGCTCACTGGGCTCACTGCCCTCGGTGGCTTCTTTAGGGTAGGTGTGACACCGTGTGATAACCCAGGGTGTTACTTCCTCTTCCCATGGGCCTCCCATGTCGGACCAAGCAAGATCCTTAGTGATGCTTATGATCAGTCTCCCAAGCATGGAGTAATATATGAGAGTAATTGTGAATTATGTAAGTATACTGCCTTTTCCATTATGTGAATACTAACAACAGAATTACTTTATAAAATCATTCTACATTGAATGACGTTAATTGCAACATGATTAGTAACTGAGTGGAAGCCTTTCCATTTTTTCTCCTTTTTCCTCTAATTGCTATTTCTTTTTTTTTTTTTAAGTGACTGATACAGTTTCACAAATACTAATTGCCGTGTTATTGTAGCTAGAATGCCGGAGAATTCGTCCAACAGCAAAAAGGTACAACAGCGCACAGTTATTGCAGATGCAGGCGAAGCCACATGCGTTGGGTCCGTAAGACGGTTCAGAGAGTAAGCGAGCCTAGAGGGCCAGTCTTGGAGGCGTATTGACACCCGTAAGCTGGGCTCACGGAAAATGCTTTTCTTGTTCTAACTAACTTCAGGGATTCCGAAAAATACATTTCTTCTGAAACACTGCACACAAATTTTATGGACACTTTGGTCCCTCCTGAGAGTCACTCACATCCTGGTGCTGCCCCTGATTGCACCTCCTTCTCAGTCTTCAGGCCGCGAGGCACTAGTTTGTGCCTGTCTTTCTGTTGAGGAAACACACAGCACACACTTTTTGAAGACGATAGTTTGGGTTCTCTGTTGAGGCTAATGGACCTTGTTATAGCTCAAGGTATAAACTCACTGCCATCGAGGCCATGCTGCCTCAGTGACCCCCTGTGGGTTTATGAGACTGACTGTTTCCGGCACTAGAGAGTCTCGATAGACTTTCTCCCGCGGAGCTGCTGGAGGTTTGAACTGCCAGCCACGGGGACTGCAACCCAACGCATAATCACTACACCCCCAGGCCCTCAAGTTATAAACAGATCTATTTATTCTACCATCAGAATCTAGAGGCATTGCCAGTGAACTCTGTTGTCTCCTTTTAATCAGCTCCAGGTTATACGAATCAAGAAACAGAAGAAACCATGTTTTTGCATGGGTCTATATTTGAATAATACAATTCCCAAATCACATGTTTGATTTCTTATTTACGCATGTATCATATATAACAAATACATAGGATAAAAATGAACCTCAAGTTTTACAGGACTATCCTGTGCACCTTGTAGAAGATCATCTCACTGGCTTCTCCTTAGCAGGGGAGAGAGTGTGTATTGAATGTATACATCAGATGCAGATATCTGTTGGGTGTATATTTGTAACTGCACATGTGCATCAACTACCTCTGTTAGTACGAAAGGATTTGATGTTGGTTTTTGTAAGAAAGCCAGAGCAGCCACAGGAAGATAATCTCACCCTCTCAGTGAATGAGCCAATTCAAGTAGAGGAAGAATGAAGCCGTCAGCAAGTGCCAGCGAGGGCCGAGCCTCGGGAAGGGTCCGTTTCTTATTGTTCTATGAACTTTTATTTCTCTCTCTCTCTCTCGTAATCAGAAACTGGATAGATTGTGAATGTAAAGTGTACATTTTATTAATATTTGAGTAAAGACCGGTGGTGTTTAAATTGTAAATAGAGGGATAGCAAATGACATCAGAACTAAGATAAATATATATCTCTTTTTTGAGTTGTTAAGTTCAGAGAGAGAACTAGAATACTGGACAGGAGCCGAATGGCCCACTGAGTCAGTTAGTTTATTGTGCCTATCTGGTCGATAAACATGTGGGGTTAATTGAAGGGCGGAGAGATAAATGGCTCAGTGAGTCTCACCTTTCGAGTTCTCGGGGTCTCTTGCTGTGATGGTTGGACCAGGGTGCAGCTGCCTTAGCAGTTCCCAGCTTCAGCTTGCAAGACTGACTTCCTGCAAGACATCCCCAAGGAGAAGCCACATGGATCTACCCCAATGCAGCCGTGGGTGCTGGAGCAGCCGTGTGGAGACCCCTGCCAGCGCTGAGATGCTTACACATTCACTCACTCAGCTTTCCTCCTGCGGTCCGCGTCATTGCCTCTGCTTTGTGAGATGGAGGAGGACTTTGTGGATTGGTGTTGGACATAAGGGTTAATGTTGGACTTGTGGGCTTGGCCAGCACTGGGTTGGGATGTTTTCTTGATGCTCACTTAACCTTTACAAAAAACTCTCTCTTATACATGAGTTTTTGTTGATTTATTTCTTCAAAGTACCCAGACTGACACACCCACAAAGCCTAAACTATCGAGGGTCCTTTTCCTGGATCACAAACTGTTTCCTCGAGCTGAGGGATATTTATTAAACTGTGGGTAATAGGGAAACCTCACAGCAATAGCTTTGATGAGGATCTCAGTATTGTGCAGAAAGGGAGCTATAATATATTTGGAGGCAGGTGTTACTACTGTTCTGCATGCAGAATACTAGAATTTCCACGGGATGTATTTCACAGGAAAGGTGTTTGTGAAGACAGCGGTACACCTGTAAGCAGTGTTGCGAGAGACGGGCGAAGGGACTCTGGAAGGAAGCACCTCTTCGGGTTTATCTGACCTCATTTTAAGAAGCATGTCGGGAATGTAATTCAGTAGCACAACAAGCATTTCAGAAATTTCCAGCAACTTTTTAATGATAAAATGATTAGATTTGCATATATCACATTTAAAGAGAATAAGCTTTGTATGAAACAAATATATATATTTTAAAAGAAACAAATATTTTTGACACTTATGGAATTAGCTTTCTTCAGGCTTTTTATAGGAACAAAAGAAAGTATTCAAATTGTCGAAATTTTTAGATGTGAAGACTTCTCTTTGTATTGATTAAGTCTGTAAAATGGCTTTGGAATAAATTATATATGATATGTGACTGTCAACATTTTAATGGTTTTTGTGTGTGTCAGAATGTTATTTGCTTACTTTTTGGACAATGTATGAATCTTAATTATAAAATTCTAAGCCAATTAGCGATGAATTCACTATAACTAAAAATTACACCTTACATTTTTTAGCATTTTATTATCACAACTTTTATAAATGTTATGGGCATAGTGCTTACAAAATAGCTAAATGAGGGCTGTTCTAATTTATGCATGAAAAAGGGGCTTCTTTAAAGACCACATAACTCCTGGTCCACCGCCAGACTCCCGTTCACTTACTCCTTTGTTCAGTAACTAGTGAGCTGGCAGCTACTGGCTGTGCCAGGTACTAGGATCAGGCACACAGCAGCGAAATGGGAGATGCAAATTGTTGCGCTCCTGGAGTTTACATCCCAGCAGAAGAGATGGGAATTAGTAAAGTATACTGCTTTTATTTTACTTTATTAATCATTTTATTGAGGGCTCTTTTTTTTTCTTTTGTGTTTTGCTCTTTATTATTATTTTTTAATTAACTACTTTTATTGGGGGGTCTTACATCTCTTATCACAATCCACACAATCATCCGTTGTGTCAAGCACATTTGTACACATGCTACCATCATCATTTTCAAAGCATTTTCTTTCTACTTGAACCCTTGATATTAGCTCCTCATTTTCCTCCTCCCTCTCCCCTCTCCCTCCCTCATGAACCTTTGATAAGTTATAGGTGATCATTTTCATATCTTACATTGTCCTGTTGCCCTTCACCCACTTTTCTGTTGTTCATCCCCCTGGGAGGGGCTTATAGATTGATCCTTGTGATTGATTCCCCCTTTCTCCTCCCACCTTCCCTTTATCCTCCTGGTATTCTCATTGTTGACCCTGAAGGGTTATTGGGGGCTCTTACAGAGCTTAATAACAATCCAAAAATCAATTGTATTAAGCACACATGTACATACGTTGCCATCATCATTTTCATAACATTATCTTTCTACTTGAACCCTTGGTATCACCTCCTCTTTTTTCCCCTCTTTCGCCCAAGTATACTATCTTTATAACCAGACATTTTATCGATCTTTTTTATAGAGAAAAGAAGTTCCTTTAGCCATGATGCTCTTTGGTGATTCTGAGATACAGTTCATATCTAGAAAGCAGGGGGATACTTAACTCTTTCCCTGTCATGAGGAATGTTCAAAGGGATGAGTATGATGCCGCAGCAAATTCCAGGAGGATCCATTGCGGGGCTTCCTTTGTTCTCGCCCCTCTCTTTAGTAGACCTGGGTTTACTTTCACTGGGAACGTGGGCAGCAAAACACATCCAACAGTTTATATGAGTACAGTTCAGGGACTGATTACTTTCATCGAGCTGTAGAATCATTCTTGCTCTCTTGAGTTTTTCCCTTTCCATGAACATAAACTCACTGCAACCCGCCCAAGTTCTTGTTTAATAGCTTGAGTTATTGCTCTTACTTTGATCCCCAAAAGCTAGATTTAAAAAGAGTCTTGGATTGGTTGAGGTTATATGTCAACTTGGCTAACCCACGGTTCTCAGGGGTCTGGCAGAGAGTCTGTAAGCATCCTCTGTTTTGTGATCTGATGCTAGCAGGCAATCATTTGAAAGGGACATTTCCTTAGGGACGTGGCATGCTTACAATATATCTGAATATTCTGGCAAAGGTTGCCCCTGCTCAATTCTGTATCTGACTCATCACCTCTGACCTCTGGGTCTTTGGACTTGAGCCAACAGCCTGCTGTCTGCCCTGCAGATTTTGTGATTTCCCAGCCTCTACAAGTGCCTAAGCCATTTCCTTGGAATAAATCTATATGTACAAGGGGACTTCAAAAAGTT